TGCTACAAAGCCTTTGCATAGGTAGAGACTCGCTATCTCCATCTTTTTCTTCATTCGCTCGCAGGCGGCGCTTCAGAAGGTTGCGACCGCGAGTGCGAATCAACCAGAGTCGATAATGTTTCAATCATAGTACACTGCACAGTGGCAGTATGCTGCTACGAGCAAAAGGACACGTGTCAGCACACCTATTGGATAGGATAGGAAAGCGTTGTTGAATGGATAATACGTAAGAGGATTGGGGAGGAGACCAGAAGGATACGTCTGGCATACGAGCAAATGGGCAGCAATCAAGACAACAGCAAGTGGACTGCAGCACCATAAACACGCATTGGCGACATCACGTCGGCGCTACCGTGTTGTTGTAACAACGCCATGATCGAGGTACATATAGAAAGGGTTTGAAAGAGCTTAATTAGGATTGATAAGAGATCACGTTTACGAAAACGAGCCGACAATGCCGTTGATGGCCATGGTCAGCATCGAGAGAATCCCAAGTGTCCACGCCGACGTGCGCGGCCAAAAGATGTGGTTGGCAAACGCCAGCGTGTGCACAACGCGGACGATGGTAAAGACGATGTACGCGACCGACGTCACGGACGTGTTGCCGCCGGCGAGGATCGACGTCCAGGCCAGAATGATGCCGAACGGAAGGTTCTCGAGGTCGTTGCCGACGATGCGCTGCCAGCGAATGTCGTCGGCCTTGGCTTGCTGGTGCGCGTCGCTCTCGACAATGTTGGCCGAGAGGCCAAAGTTCTGGCGCGGGATCGCCGAGCTCGCGGCCATGTCCTCGGGCGCGCGCGTGCCGGCAGTAAACTTCTTGCCGCCCTGGACCATGAGCGACGCGAGGTACTTGACGTACAGGATCGCCGTGCACAGCATGAGCACCTGCGTCGTCGCCGGCGTCGAGATCATCTTCGTGCGGATCCAAGTGAAATTGAAAATGGGACTTCATGGCCCTTCGCCAGCCCGTTTCGTATGGTGGTATAGCCGACGAATCCCTTTACGCCGCGCAAGGCCATTGGCTAGAATGTTTTGGCATGGCCAATCCAAATGCGCCATTTGGGAATCTTTTGAGAGTGACGGACAGCAAACTGTAGTCGAATCCAATGACGTCGTGTTGATGTGATGACGATCATGGCGAGCGGAAAATGCAGATAAAACAAAGGCTTCCCGACCCGACTGACGAAGACATCGGAGTGTCGGAGTGGTGGTACATGGATCGCAGAGTGATGTTATGGCGTCGACGAGCTCATCCAGCGTAGAGAGACGCAGTCTTGAGAACAATTTTGCGGTCCATGCAAACGTTTCCTGGGTCTTATAGCGCCGTATCAACCTTGTGGGCGAGACCCGCAGCCCAGAGACCGAGATTCCGCTTCACGATGTCGATCGTAGCTCGTTCGTTCCTGTCGTTCGCTGTTGTTGAAGTGGGTCGATCACTCCATTTTGTTGCGTGTTTCTCACATCCCGCCACTACGCGGCGAGAAAAACGCAGATGCATCGCACGTTGTGCTAACACTCTCCACTCCCGACGACGCTCTCTTTCAGTTATACTGACACGGATGGTCTCGTGACTAGGCAGCGTGGACACCACCACAATAATGTGTCTACGATCATTTGTTCGAATCGCAAGGACGTGGTACGTCACTGAATTCCGACTTTGTTCTGTGGAGCGGCAACACCACATAAGCCTCTGCTTTCTGAGTTCATGTACCAACGTCCCATTTGTTGAGCCCGCTAATTTCAAAGCAAGTACCGGTCGCTCGAGCGACTAGCCTCGTTTGTGCTTGCGAAACACGCCCTCGAGCTGCTTCTTTTTTACCCTGAAAACGACGCGATGCACGCGATAGGCGTGTCGCCGTACACATCAACCCGCGAGGGGATCGCGCCCGCGCGCAAGAGGTGCTTGATGCAGCTGGCATGTCCCCGGATCGCAGCGAGGTGCAGCGGCGACCAATGATGCTCGGGCTCGACCGCCTGGACGTTGGCGCCGCGCTCAATCAGAAGCTCGAGGATCTCGCAACGGCCTTGCGATGCGGCCCAGTGCAGACCGTTCCAGCCATGCTAGTTCGTCTTCATGTTGAGAATATATGTCATTCGTGTTTGAAAGGCGGTGATCGTACCTGGTCGGTGATGTTGACGTCCGTGTCGTCGCCCAAGAGATCTTGAACGCGCCGGAGGTTGCCGCGGAAGACGGCCTGTAGAAACACTTTGCTTTCGTTCGAGACGGTCGGACTCGTCTTCTCGACCTCGTCGGCCGCATCGCTCTGGTTGTCGTCGTCGTTAGCCGCCTGGACTGCTTTTTTGGTTGGTTTCTTCTTGGCAGCTGCATTGTCGTCGTCGAAATCCTATGCCGACGGCGCGCTTTAGCCAATGACATTATTGGCAAGAAGCGCCTACGTACCGAGTACCCATCGTCGTCGTCGTCGTCGTCCTTGTCGTTGTTGTTGTTGCTGCTCTTGGTGGTCGTCGTGGGGGTGGCAACGGCGGTCGTCGGGGCGTGTGCAGTTTTTTGAACAACGACGGCTGCTTCCTTGAGCGTCGCGGCCACCTGCGCCTTTGTGACGGCCGCGTCTTCGGCGGCGACGGCCCGCGCCGCCTCGACAAGAATCGCCCCGACGGTGCTTTGCTGGCGCGCTTGGTCGTGCTTGACCGCCTTCGATGCGTCGGCGAGCGCGTGAACGACCGCTGCATCGCGCTCTTGTTCGACTTCTGTCGCGATCTGGACAAGCGACTGCGTCGGCGCCTTCTGGAAGGACGACCGCGAGTCTTGGCGCAGTGTCTTGGCAACAGTCGTGAGCGCGGCGCTGTCCGTGGACGCTGTCACGGCGGCTTGCAACGAGACGCTTGGCGCGGCGGCCAACGTCCGCGAGGGTCGGCGGCGTTTCCTTGGCGACGATCAAAAGACGACGGCTTGTCGGCCAAGGCGACGCTCACCAACGTCGGCTTGGCAGCGACGCTCTGCATAGAGGAC